CGTAAGTGTTCCGTTGACTGAATCACAATTTTGAACAAGCCATAGCACCAAATTGTAGTAGATGAGAATTTTCCTCAAGTTGAGCAAGCTTCCGAGCCCCATATAGCGGACCACCTCTATTTGATCATCACTAAAACCACTGACGACAATGGATAATGTGTCTGGAGAACAACACACATCTAATCTATTCTTTGAAGATGCAAGGATACAATTGGAGGTCGATGGTGTGCAATCCGTGAGAAATCGGTAATAAGATAGTGAACCTATCTTTATCTCGGTCTCGCGAAGTAAATTAACTTATTTGGTAGCTTATCGTGCTTTAACGTATAATGTGTCGGGCGTCTTTAAAAAAGAGAAATAGTATAAAATAGGCAAATATGAAAAACTTAAAAAAGTATATAGGTCAATTTTTAGTTATAGAAATTAATAGGCCATAACTTGTCAAGTTATGGTTCATAACCAGATAAGTTATAGACAAACTTGGCAAGTTATGGTTCATAGCCAGATAAGGTATGGACAAAAACCGTGAATAATTTGTCAAGTTATGGTTCATAACCAGACAAGTTATGGACGAAAATAATAATTTGACCTATTTATTAACTTATGTAAACTATTGACCTATTAATTTTAATTCATCTCAAATCTTGGCCTATTTTCCTCTTTCTCCCTTTAAAAAATTGTGAAGCTCGACTTACTTAATAAACATGTTGAGCTCGGCCCATTTAATAATCGTAATGGATGTATTGTGCGCCTGTATCGGCCACTAAACCCCGGCTTTAAACATCTCTCCCAGCTCCCCCCGTGACTGCAATATCAATTTCATTCAAGCATATAAACAATTTCTGATCTTATCCATATTCTACTGGACTGTTTAATCCATTAAAGTTGGAGGTTTGTTCTACTAACTAGTATTTCAATAAGAGATGTCAAAAGCAACATATGTGCAATAATGAATAATTCCTCATTAAATAAAATAAGCTTGGGGTTATTTGGGTAACTTAGAGACATTGGCAAGCTGTTTTTATTGAGTGTATTAGGGTTTTATGATTTATCCTCTCTTCATTTTATTAATAGTAGAAAATAAGTTTGCATTGTTTATATATAAACAAAATAAAAAAAAGAGATATCATTTCACTTGCAATAGATTTTGTTGCTCTTGCTCTTACTAATTTAATTGAAACCAAACTATACCAAACTCATTATGGTCAATCATAGAGTCAGTTGGGGAAACTAAAAATTGGGTTTAACACTCGGATTGGATTTGTCCTAGGTACATAGGAAGACAAAGATCCAGTCTGTAATGCCAAACTATTGCTTGGATTTTGGTATCTATAGAAATAATTAAAAAGAGAAAAGAAAGGAAGAAGAAAAAGAAGTAAGCGTTTATGAAGCAAGTAGTGCTTTTTTGAGAATACAATGAATGGATTTGGGTCTTGGAAGAAGCAAATTATTATGCGGTCAATGTTTTTGGAAGGGGTCAATGCCAATCAAAATGGCATTGCTTTTGCAATAGCCAACATCCCATTTTCTAAAAACATGGCCCCTCATGCTCAGAATTTTGGGTTCATGCACCTCCCTCCATTTGCTTTTGTCTATTTCTAGCAACAAACTTAGAGAAGCTTAGAACTATGACCGGTAATATAGGTCACGACACAACAACACGACTCGAAAACGATATGAATTTTACAGATTAGGGTTGAGAAAAAAGAGGTTCAGGTCAGAATTGGGTCAACCTGAAATTGACATAAAAAACATGGGTCAATTTTAGGTTGGACCCGCCTAACTCAGCACGGCACGAAACTCATAAAAAACTAAAAAATATATATATTTCTCATTACACATTTTAGATTTTAATATGAACTTGTGATATCATGATAGTTATACTCAAAATCTTATATATCATGATAGGTATACTCAAAATCTTATACTATTATTTGTTTAATTTTGATGGATGTTATTGTATTTTAGTGTGTTATGAATTTTAAGTTATTTCTAATATGTAAAAAACTAAAGAGAAGTATATAATATTTTCGTGTCAATTTCGGGTTCACGGATTAATTTTGTGTCACAAGTCATTTTTCGTGTTGTATCGTGTCAACCTGTAAAGTGACCGTGTCGTGTTTGTATTGCGGTTTTTAAAAAATTTAGAGTAACAGATCGTGTTCGGATTGACCGTAAATTTAAGAAGAAACGATCAAAATACGACACGAACACGATATGTGACACGAATTACCACCCCTACTTAGGACCCTTTCTTTTTTTTTGTTTTGTTTTTGAATTGGAAAAGTTCATTGTTAATATTTTTTCCCTATTGTGATGGAAAATCTACTTGAGAACCATAGTTCCTTTCTTTTTGCTCTGTCTTTATCCCCAACATGGAGTCATACACAGATCTGCTCTAGTGGCAAAATTCACATGCATATTTGAAACTAGATTAGAACCTTTTAAGATTTGCACAAGATTTTTCTGATCTAGTGTAAGATGTTTTTTGTGCTTGGAGCTCCTCATCAAAAGATATAATAAAATAATTCAATCTTATATGAACTTGTTCTATTATTGGACAGCACAAGTTATCATATTCACTTTAATATTATTTGACTTAGTGGCTTACCTTATAAATTGCAATTCTATATGGATGAGTTTTCAATAATATATATAAATATATATATATATTTTAAACTAGTTTTTAATAGTTATTTTCATAATTGTTACACATTAAATATGACGTGATCAGAATCAATCTCATTAATTATTGTTAATTTTTTTAAACTATATAAGTTATTAAAAAAGAGAAGAAAAATCCCACATCAGTCATTGAAACGAAAGAATTTTCATGATGCTTGTGGTCGAATATAATAGCACATGAGTTCACCAAAACAAAAACAAAACAGTTCTTGATGACAATCACAAGAAAATTCATTTGTACTCCTCTCTTTTTCTCACCTATCCAAGCCTTTCGTGTTGGGCAAAGCAGGATAGTGCATGCATTCACATCAAATCTACATGAACCTAGATAATTGTGAGTAGTTATTTTCCATCCACAAAATCCCAAGTCCTTTTCCAAGAAAAAAGAAATACACTACACTATGTTTTGTGGGGGAAAAGACGGTGACAAAGTGGGTAATCATTTTGAAAGTCATATATATATATATATATATATATATAATATCCTACCAAAAGGAGAAAAAAAGTTTGAATAGTCACATACATAGCTATAGAAGTAATAAAAAATGGTTCCATAAAAATGAATAAAAAATAATTTATTGAGGGTCCTATGGTCCTCTAGGAAAAGGGAAGAGGACAAGGACAAGGGCACATGATCACATGGCTTTGCACATGAAGAGCTCTCACATTTGAGAGAGTCACGACAAGGATTAAATAGGACAATCTCTGTAGTGTGAGCTATAGTTAATTACAAATTATTGGCTGGAGTTGTTTTTGTTTTTTATTTTTCACATTTTTTGAGAAAAAAAAAACGGGAGAGAAACGATGTTTAACATAATTAAAGATAAAAAAAAAATGAAAACGATTTTTTAGTTCAGTGTAAAATATGAGAGAAATAAAAAACGACTTTTAGTCATTTTTTATTTTTTATTTCTATTTTCTCCTCTCTCGAGTAGAAATAAAAGACATTAATGGATTTTTTTTTATATTGAAAACAATCTCTTGATAAAATTATCAAACGCATTTTTAAAAATGATTTATATCTGAGATTACAAACGTTTTCATTTCCATTTTCATACAAAAAATAAAATTATTTTGAAACGAGTTCCAAACGCACCCATTATAATTTGACCATCACTAATTTATGTATTTCGAGCTCTTAGGCTAATTTATAGATACTTTTAATTTCTCGTTGAATTAATTACTTAGTATAGACTAATATAAATGATTAATTTTTGCATCTAAGACCAGCTAAGATTATTCTAATTAGGCGATCATATCTGTTATTGAGCTTTCAACTATGGAAAATCCAATGCGCCGTATTCCCAGATATTTGCAGCTGTATGATTCCTTGTTAGTTCTTATATTGTATTATTATTATTATTACGGGAATAAAAGCAACAATAATTTCAATGATGATGATGATGATGTTTGATAAGATCATGAAAGCCAAATTCACCATTAAAAAAAAAAAAAAAGGTTCTGAATAAATTTATTTTGCGAATTTCAAAATTTTGAATGATGAAATACCAGACTAAAATAGATACTCTTGTTCAATTAACTAAGTACTCGAGGTAAAATATAAATTCTTGTTACTACTCGTACTAGTAGAGCGATAAAATAAACTGTGTTCCTGTAAAAGGAATTCCCTAATCCCACTTATTTTTTTTAAAAAAAATTTTAACCACACTTAAATTGATCTACTTGTTCTTCTTTAACCTCATTCCAATTCTCAACTCACTAATCTCAATTTTTATTAGATTAGTATTTGATTGAAAGATAGGGATCTTTAGGGTGTTGTAGTTAAACGAGTGGCTGAGAAGTGATCATATGTCAAGGGATGTTTTATTTTTAATCCTTAATTGACAATTAATTACTCATTAATCCAATTCTCAACTTACTAATTTCATTTTTTAGAAGTTTTGTATGCAGTATTTATTATTATTATTTTCTTTAGTGAATTTCTTAAGGAAGGGTTTGATTTGTTTGAGTGAAAGGTTAGAGATGTTGTAGTTAAAACGAGTGGCTAAGAAGTCACATATTGAAACATGTTTGAATCTCAAGGAAGGGAAGAATGGACCATGACATGAACAATACAAAAATAAATATTGGCCTAACCCCACATGCAAATATACACATACATATACTCATATTATAATATATGTGTATATAACTTATTTGTCTTACAAATCTTAAATATTCTTTATTGAAAATAGGAGCCCACTTATAAATTATTAAAATGGTTAATAATGTGCTGAAACCGAGGGCATTTTTGGTACGACTGAAGGCTATAAAATGAGCAAGTTTTTGTAGGGATTTCTCACAATGCACGACTTCGACCCTCAGCTTCATCATCTTTCTTTCTCTGATCTCTCAATCTCCTGATCAAGCTTAAAAATCACGTAAAGATTTTGCCCTAAAGTTGTCCGAAATCAGTAAAACTCTGCGAAAAAATGGTGTCCAAGGTTGAAGAAGCCATGAAGAAGAGACAACAGCAACAAGATCAGCAGCAGCAGCAATATCATCAGCAGAAGCAAATCATGCATTGCAACAAAGGGAACGTCGTCAAGTTCAAGAGAAGCAGCTCGAATCTCGAGGAGGACGGCGTGTCGTCGGCGATTCTCTTGCTCGCTTGCATCGCTTGCACTCCTTCATATCCTTAGAAACCAACATTATAGAGTTCTTGCTTGTGCGTAGCTAGCTATATATATAGTATTTGTTGTTTTCCTCTCTCCCCTTCTTAGCTATGTAGTTCTTATAATAGTATGACTTCATTCCTACCATCACCATATTTTCTTCTTCTTCTTCTTGTATGACAGTGTGAGTTTTTATTAATATAATGTATATTTTACACATTCTATTTAATTTCGATTTAGTCAATTAGAGGACTATTAATTTCTACGAACTTATGGCCGTGTTTGGAATTGATCCCGTTTTTGTTTTTCACGTTTTTTGAAAAAGAAAAAATGAAAAACGTTTTTAAAACGGCGTTTAGCGTAATAAAGACAAAAAACAGAAATGAAAACGATTTTTTGGTTTAGTGTAAAATGAAAGAGAAATGAAAAACGAGAGAGAGACATTAATGAGTTTTTTTATACTGAAAATAATCTCTTGATAAAATTACCAAACGCATTTTCAAAAATGATTTATGTCTGAGATTGAAAACGTTTTTATTTTCATTTTCATACAAAAAATAAAATCATTTTGAAACAAGTTTTAAACGCGGCCTATATTTTTAGTACTCCAGCAGATGGGGAAGGCACTTCGTCCATAAAGTCCTCAAAATTATGTTTGTCACCCTCTAACTTGTGAAACTACTTATCTTAAAAGCTAGAATTAAAAAAAAAAGAAATAATATATATGAAAAGTACACATATAGTCCGAAAAAGGTGGTCCTTATTTGCCAATTTATGAAAACTATTAATTAAATTAACGTGAGTTTACACATGAGAGTTACTTGGCTATCGTGAATAGTAAGTCAACTAAGACACTATTTTATAGGATGTGGTCCTTTCTGGTATTAATGTCATGTATCATATTACAACATGTCAATACAAACAAAAACGAAAGTTCTGAGTTTGAAACAATTTATAATTACATGAAGTACTTCTCAGCAAAATGGGTAAATTCATGGCTAAGATTTTGGTTCTAGACATTGAACAAGCAAATGGGCTTTGGTTATATTCCAATATATTAATAAACCACACAAGTCACAAGCTCCTTCTTCTAGGTCTAATCAAAGATCAAGTTTTGTAAGGTCACATGCTCCTTCTTCTAGTCTAATAAAAGATCAAGTGTTGTGACTAGTAGTACTATTGATCTCGTGCCCACTAACATGTAAGAATTGACCTTAAAAATCCTATTCCATGACCAAATAATAGTAAAAACAACTACACTTATAATAGTTGTTTTTTTTTTTTTGAAAGGGATAATTATAATAGTTATAATAATAATGAAATAAATAAATAAATAACCCTAGTTCGTTTGGTACGAGGATTCAAACTAAGGTGATTCTAATCATGATTTTAAAATCAGAATCAAGATTCATGATTTTGGGTTCAAATTATGATTATGAAATCATGATTCAGAATCAGGGGTTTGAATTACCTTGAATCAAGAGGGGGTGGTTTTAGAATCATGATTTGAGCTAGTTTAAAACATCACATCAGATTCTGAATCATGATTCAGAATCATCCAAACCAAATACTGATTCTGAATTATGATTCAAAATCACTGTAAACAAATAATAATTTTAAACTAGAATCTAGAATTATGATTTTAGATCCATCTACTAAACGCACCCTAAGAGTTTGGACGGTCATTGCATTAACTGAGGTCCTTTGGGACAAGAACTAGACAATTGTCACCACTATTGATGATGTGTTAATTTGTCGGTCCTTGTTTATGTGACACGCTCGTTTATCAAAATGGATAAGCTTGTAAGGGAGGCCACTCCAATTTTTAGAAGTTCCAGATGGGGTGACATATTCTTTTGTAAAATAAGTTGTATATATTTGCCTCTCTTTTTGGATGTACTAAAGATCCTCACACGTTATACTATTTGTATTATGTATTTTATATGCATTATAAATATCTTGTCATGTATAGGTTGATTTAAAAAACAATTCATGAGAAAAATATCGCGTCACATGTAACTAGTGCATCTAAAAGCTTACAAGCTCAATTTTGTCCTCATGCGTGAGCTACACATAGCTAATAGGTAGGCGGTTGTTCTATTTGAATTTTTTTTTTTATGTATATTTTGTTAAAATTTGTAGCGTGCTCCTTTAAAAATTTGAAATACATGCGGTGGCGGAACCAGTATTTCACTTCATATATTATTTCAATAAAGATATATAAAAAAATATATTTATCTTAGTAGGGGCATATATTATTTCAGTGAGAGTTTAAGTGTAAAATTTTAAAATTTTTAAAGATAATATTTTTAAAAAAAAAATTTGAGTGAGAGGAGCTGTACTTAAATCCGCCACTGAATACATGTCCTCACCCCGTAAAAATGTACAGTTATATGGCCGCCCCTCTCAATTATTTTTCTTGTTTCTGCCCCTATTGCCCTACTAATTTCATACTAGAATACGATTTTATTGGTCATAATACGCCTTCATGGATTGTGTATTCAATTTCTTTCATACCTACATATTCACGGTTCAAATCTGGGATAAAGTATAAACTATAATATTATTGGGTGTCGTTTTTCCTCTTTAAATTATCACCACAGATTTGGATGCCTTATATATTGGGTCGTGTGTCCTTTAATTAATATTAAGTTGAACTAACCGTTGAAATATGCTACACGGATTATGTCGAACAGGATTGTTATGAAAAAAGCAAAAAAATAAAAATAAAAATAAAAATAAAAGAATTTGTTTGTAATTCAATTCTTGGAATAATTTTATTATTATTTTTCCTCACGGAAACCAGCATGTTTTACCTCTCTATTATGTAGGACATGAAATTTTACTTAAAAGAAATATTGAAGGGGAAATTGCATGTCGAGAGAAATAAGGGTAAACACTAAAAACGGCAGTGATGCACTAGGCGACGTCTATAACAAACGACAACAACTTTAATACAGACACAACAACAATGTATAATAGAAAACGCCATAAAAACATAAATCACTAGAACAAAATGACGAGATATCCTAAAAATGAAAGAAAATATAAACGAGTAAACGACCATAGATTAAACAGCCACATAACTTACGAACTACAATAATCAAATAAAAGACATTATAGATAAAACGACATTGATAAGAGCGACTTTACGATATAATTTACCAAACGTTAAGGAATCTGAAAAACGACAACGAATTAAACAAACGGCCCGGATATATCTCAAATTTACCAAACGGTACCAAGAAAGTAAAACCACATCGTATATTGTCATATTGAGAACAAATATAGGTATAGAAACGACAATAAGGTTGAAACTTGCTTTGAACCACAGCGTTTTAATGAAAACGACAATAATTACTGAACAACAACGAATGTAAAAACGACAGTTAATTAGAAAAACGACAATGAATTTCAAACGGTAATATTATTCTCTGGCAACAAACAAGGAGTAACACGCAAAATAAACGGCATCCTTTCTCACAGATTTACTAATCGGCTAAGAACTAAACGAAAACTAAGTTGAAAACAACAATAATTATCGGAAACAACAATAACTCGAAGACAAGCATAAGACGTTAAACGACAATGTAGCTAGTGAAAGACAGTGAATTAAATAAAGGAGTAACAGAAAAAATGATTAATTGAAATCTTGTGTTTTCAGGAATAACTTTACTGTTGCGTTATAAATAACTTGCATTTTATTTCACTGTTATATTTATATTTCCATAATATAAAATTGAAAATAACTTGTAAATAATTTATTCCAAGTCTTCTTCATTTCAATTCATACGTACTTTGATTATGCACAAGTAAACATGGTTATTGCCCTTTGTCAATTTGTTGCTGTTTTCAAATTATAGATTTTTAATGTTTTTAAATTCGTTGTTGTTTTTCGATTTAGTTATCCTTTGTTTTTTTTTTTTTTAATTATTAGATCGTTGTCAGTTTAGCAATTTGTCATTGAAGTTTTATATGCATCATCAGTTGTTTGTAAAAGACATTGTCTCCAACAGACGACAAAAAACTCAATAAACGATTACATTTAGAACCTGAAATAAGAGCAGCCTTGAAGAAGGATACAAGTCTTCTTAAAAACAAAATAAATTTACCAAAGAAACAAAAAAAAAAAAAAAAACCTAGGACGTGTTTTGGAAACAAAATGCATACGAAAACGACAATTGCATGCAAAACGACAACATTTGTTGCAGGACATTTTACTAATAAAATTGACAGGAGAAATTCGAGCGTCACTCTTTTTATCACTTTCTACATTCTGTTTGACACGTAAATTCCATTAACATAATATATTGAGTGTAAAAAAAAAAAAATTGAATGCAAGAACGACGGAGTGAAATTTTGATTAAAAAAAAAGAAAAAAAAACTAGTAGAACTTTTCGAGAAAAACGTCCTTGTAACTAAGAAGCATAGTCGTTCTATATTTTAAAAACTTTATGTACTTTTAAACTCGTAGTCTACATAGGCATAGAATCAATGTCGGGCATTAATATGATATGTTTCAATTGAAAAAGAATAACAAGAACAAGATTACTTGATAATATTTTACTAATCATCTCATTGTTAATGAACTTAATACAAAATTATGAGTCTATGACTATGAAGCTAGACAGTCTTTTATCCACGAACAAACCCAATGCACTAAAAGATACTTAGCTAACTTCCATCTTAATTTTTTTAGAAGCAAAATAAAGGATGGAGATCTAAGCATGTTACTTGACAGATTCTCTACCATTATTATTACTTTTTATATAATAAATATTAAAAATAGAAATGTCACCAATGTATAGAAACTGTTTGTTTCCTGTATTCGTTCTTGATTCTGAATCATGATTCATGGTTCTTTACAGTGTTTTTCTCTCACAAAAAATACATATAAAACGAGAATGGTTATGAATTCATGAACCAAACATCCACGTTTTCTTGTCAACTAAATTTATAGCATGGGTGGCTCTCTTGCGTTGTCATGTATCCGAAAGCAACAAATATGTGTTTGAAACAATTTCATGGGCTTCGATCGTCAAATTCAACACATTTATCAAAATAAGATAAAGGATATCGATATTGTTAAAATTAAAGAAGAAAATAAAAAGAGGAAGAGAACACAGAGATTGTAATTCGGCACTATATCTACATATCCACGGTACATAAAATTCACCGGGGAAGAGCACTGTAAATTTACTCCATAATA